TGGACCAGTTGAAAACGGGCTGTACAATGGACCCATTCAGAAGTTCGCACATGAGGGCTCCAGAGGGCTGTCTTTGGGCCCGTGGGAAGGCAGAGACCTGTCCTTTTGGATATGTCCCAGCTTTGCCAGCTGCAGGTCCTGAGACTCCAGCGATCCTGATGATCTACTTTGGCGTATGGGACCTATGGGGGAGTTTTCAGAGGAGGTCCCTGTGCGGGGGGAGCACGTGTTTTTTTAAGGCCACAATCATTGGATTGGTGGTGATTGAGTTGTGCAGAGATGGTTGTGTGGTCTATTGTAGAGCCTGTTCGAAGAGGAGGAGGCCTTTGCATGATTTGCACCGCCACAAGAGCTCGAGATGTCCAGGCCCAGACGGGCATGAACCTTTACATGAAGAACGTGCTGTCAAAGATTGAGGTGGACAAGGAGGAAGGCGCCACCACAAGTGTTGAGACCACTAGAGCCTGTGCGCCAGGTCCTTTTGACCAGCTTTAGACCTCCCAAGTTGGGTCAAAAGGGATGAGGACGTGGACAGACGAATCCATGAACTCTAAACCAGGACGAGGGATCTTCCCAAAAACGTGAATGTCATACCTCCTCGATCCTGAGATTTTTATGTCAGAATTTCACCCATTATTGAATATTCGATGCTGGCTGAAAATTCAGACCTCGAGCTTCACTGATAAGCTGGCTCCGAGCTGCAGGCTGGAAGGGAATTCCCATGGGTTTCCTTTTGACCGGAATTCAGCAGTGGCTTGGCACGTAAGCTTGAAAGGGGGATCAGGCGGCACGGCCAGCCGTCCATCCATATGGCTGCCATTTTCACCATGACAACTCACAACTGAGGTGTGGATAGAAGAACCCTAGCATATAGGGTGCCGTTTAGTGGTTCATCAACCATGCTGAAGCTCGCAAATGCTGGAGGGATGTCATTTCAAAGTTGGTGAAACAGCACTGAATTTGATGGCAAAAGTTATCAAAAGTTTCACCTGTGCGACAACTGGTCCAACATGAGTGGATTTGATATGATTTGATATTAGGTGCACAAGAGCCTGTTTGCAACACCTAACATCAGATCCACTCATGAAGCCTCTACACCCGCCGGACCGCGCGCTGCTGGCGCCTGCTAGCCGAGGTTCGTCGCCTTCATGACATTCGCTTGCTTCCTGCTGGCCAGTCCGGAGTCCCAAGAAAGGCTGGCCAAGTGGACCATTTTGGATTTTCAAGAAGCTATCCAGTTGACCTTCATAGATGTATGAATCAACCAAATTGACCTTCTCCTAGTTGATTCATACATCGAGCTCCGACTGGGCATGAGACAAGGATCAATTAAGAAATCAATCCATTGAAGGGTCCATCGGTCGCTGATCCGGAGCACAAGAAGCTCATCGGTTGGGGCATGCTATAGTAGCGCCTGACTTGAATCTCGTGTTGACTGGTACATTTCAAAGGAAGAAGGGCCGACATGACAGTGAACTGACAGTGAACCTTCACAGACAGTCTGCACCCTGGCAACTTCACAGCTTTGGCGGAAAGTGATGATCGCCCGAAACATATGAAGATCAGGAAGCCATTGGAACCTGGTTTTCGGTCCTTTTTCACAAGGGTCGGCAGTGATGTTTGTGGCTGCGAGAGTGTTTGGTACACATGTCCTTCATGTTTGATCAGCTGGGTTATCAGAGTCATGTCACCAGCTTCAAACAGCTGAAGAGTAAAACAAAAGAAGTCTTGCATGTCTTTTTAGTCGTCATTTCTGGATTTTTGTGCGCTTCGCAAGGCGAGGCATGTTGATATGGTCCAAGCATCACCCTGCAGTTGTTTTAAGGGATTTGGAGCTTCTGACGTCTCGTGCTTTGGTGTAATTACTATGTTGCTTGCTCATTTTGCACTAATTAAAGAATGTGAATGTTTGTCAAGATTAATACGCAAATCGTTTGACTGGTCTACAGTAGGATGCCCTTAATACAGGTAGATGGTTTTGATCACAGTCATTGCTTGTGTCTCACAGTTGGTATTACAAGTCTTTGATTCAACCCAAACCCGCAAAGGCGACTCGAACGGGCTTGGAGGGTGGAATGGGTGGGACGTTTCGTATTCTTTTCGAACTATGCACTTGTGAATCTTTCTGGCTTTGATGGTCTGTATTTTGTATTGACATGTAAAGATTATACTGTATGTTTATGTTTGCCCCAACTAAGGCCGATTGACGTCGAGCCCATACCAGGCCCAAGCTTGAGGGTGCCAGTTAGTGCTCGCAAGACCAATGACCCAGTGACTAGTGGCTGGGATAGCATCGAGGTGGAAGGTTGATCACCGATCGAGTGTTATGAGATGTTGGGAAGCGAAATCCTCCATCTCTTGGCAAGTGCACGAGATGAAATGTAGGGATGGAGTGCTTCTGCAGACGTCCGTTTTTTTGCTCAGGCGGCGAGGCTGAAAGGAAACGACCGCGCCCGGAAGCACAGACCACTTAGACTTGTCATCTCAGATGGGATGCGATGGCGGCCTCGCCTTTGGCCAGGTCTACGTGTTGGCATTTAGCTTGGCTTTCGCGTTGAACATCGGCCTCAACAATTTCAGCATTTCGCTCGTGGCCATCTCGTGACCTGACGAAGGGACGGTCACAGCACGGTCGGAAGGTCGGAGCAAAAGCTCTCGCTGGCTGGGACCGGTTTTTTTCAAACAGGGCATGGTCGAGGTCCAGAATCACTTGCTGGACATGGACTCCCCTGAATTCATCAGAAGAAAAGTGCACAGTTCTGTAGACGTTGGGCCTTTCTGTGGACAGGGCTCCCAGCAAGCCGCTAAGCGAACCGCAATCTTCGCTACTGGAGTTATTTTTTGTTACATGAGCCTAGCTAGCAACTAGTAGGTTGCTTGGTACATTGGTACATTATTGTAATTGAGGTGGATTATTAGTTAGAACGTGTTAGACGCATCAGTCAGATCCACCAACCAGAAAGAAGCAATTCGTCAATGTTTGGCGCTCAGGATCAACATGATCATCCGATCGTGCCTGCCCGTTGCCACAGTTTGTGCCTCATTGCAGCCGATATGTTTCTTGACATGTTCCAAAGATGCTGCCGCCTTGCACCCTGTCCCACCAAAGTCTTCTATCAGGCAGCTACGCAGAGCATTTTGAGCGAAATCATGGGAACGGACAAGGCGTGACGTGCAAGCACGTGCTTGGTCTTTGGGGAGGTTGGTGCTGTTTCTTAAATATATAGTTGCAATCGTTTTGCAACCTTGATTCAGTTGCCTTCTCACAAGCTTCGTCTAGTGATGGTAATGGTTGCGTCAATCCAATAAATATATATACGGTACGTGGCCCTCGTCGGCAAAGTGTGGTGCCACACCATCAGAAAACATGTCATCGCACATGCGTGACTCACTCCTGCCCCGAAAGACCAACCATAAAACGGTGTTTGCGTTCTTGGGACCCTCAGTTTTGCCCACATCTCGGCCAGCTGCATCAGTTTCTGATCCAGTTTGCTCACCAGTCAGTGCTTGGCCCGCCAGATGAAAGTGAGCCTCAGACAATGGGTGCTCATGATCGGAGGCGGGGTTTTCGGGCGGGTTGGGGAGAGACCGCAGAAGGTGGTCCCCAACTAGATAGTGGCACGGTTTCCAATACATGTTTGGCACTAGTTCACTAGTGGGGATCTACTTTTCTATCCATTTGAAGGTCTATAATAATTGTCTATAATATATAGATCCCCCTTTGTGAGTGACTGCTGGTTGACATCCTTCGACTGGGAGAGCTGGCTCGGGGTGGCAAGAGACCGAATTTGGACCCAATGGCCAGGTGTGACGTGTGCGGGTATTGCCACATGGGCAAGGGCCTCAATTGGGATTCTGACCACATGAATGGAACTTGGACAGTGCAACATCCCCACACAAGCATCTCAGAAAAGGCGTGTTTCTGCAATGTCCCCTGGGATCTACCCAGAGATCTTATGAAGATCGAGGCCAAGTCCCACTCCAAGAGTGAGGAGTCCGCCAACCTCATGCCTGGCAGCCCAATGAGACCCATTTCAGGGTGGGAGTGTCATCAAGGACTGCGGCACCAGCTGTAAACATTGCAGGACTGCTTCAGAGTACTAGTCGATGAACTTAGAAGAGTTTAGCGGCTTGCGCCTAGGTTGGGGCATTTGCAATGTTCAGGGTGAGAGAAAGTAATTAGATGAGACCATCCCCCACATCCGCCACGGAGAAATCTTCATGGTTTCTAGCAAAGAATCCAAGCGAGCACACCGCCAGATTGACTTGTACCACATACTTGTACCTCCCAAGTCCATGTTCAAGATGCTCCATGGTCAGTGTCCCTGGAACGTAGGAACGTATTGGTTTTCAGAAGGATTTGGTTTTCGAGCACTGACCCGGCACTCTGTGGCACAGCAAACGGCCAGGCTGGGCATTGGGGTGACTGTGCTCTCGATCTTCGCCGGAGCGCTGAATATGGTCCTGGCGGGCGTCATGGGGACGAGCTTGAAGCTGAATCCGTTGGGCGGCCCAGTGTTTTTTTGAAGGTTTTGGAGCCTTTATTCGATGGTCAGGACCGGAGTAATTATATAAGAATGATAATAGAACTAATAGAACTGATAGAACATAACAGAACATGATAGACCTCAAAGCAGCCGCCATAGCAATGCAAGGCGTCTTAGTTAAGCTGGAGAGGTTATTCTATATTATTCTTGATGCCCTTGGGGGCAGGCCCAGCAACCCTGTTGCCAGCAAGTCAGGAAGTGGGTCAGATTTGCTGAGGTTGGATACCACTTATCACATGGCTTTGCCAGCAGGGTCATCGACCTTAGTGGATTGTGGTCAATGATTGTTTTTGGTGCGTGGTTTTCGAGAAGTCATGAAGAACACCAGCGTGCAAAGACTAAAACCAAAAACAGGCATATGGAGAGGTATTTGCTAGGAGATGCTAGGAGAGATAAGAATTTAGAGGTCCCCCTCCTTGCCCAGGATCGCGCTGCTGGTGCCATCCATTTTAATCTCGCATCCGGTCAGCCAGTGGTCATGCTGGCATGGTGGAGCTGCCGTTGGCGTTCGACAGAATCCAAGAAGATGTACATGCAACCTGCAAGAGATGTGCATGCCAAGCGGAAACTTGTTAACACTGGAGATGAGTTGATGTTCCCTGTGAATGCTCGAAGGACGTGCCGAAGAGAAAGATCCGCATCACGAAACGTGGAGAAGCGTATCGTTTGGAGCGAGTGCTGCGGAGGGCAGAATTCTAGTAATTATGTATGCGTGTTTGACATATGTTCCGGGGGTCATCTCACCCTTCTTCCCATTTCTTGTTTCCCTTCTCCTACAACTCTCCCACCCTTGTGAATTTCTATATGCCAAACCCATCAGAATGCTCACAGGTTTCCAAAGTTTTTGTTCACCCCGAAGCGTGGGCCATCGCACCAGGCCGGGTCAAGAAAATATGACCGACTGGGAGGTGCTCAAACAGTTGTTGCCACAGCCCCAGTGGAGATGTGGTGGAGCATGTTTATTGTTAGGTTGCGGTTGGGGGTGTTGTAGATACTGGAGGAAACCGTTGAGGCTTGAGACTCATGTTGAGGCTTTGAGACTCTGGTGGCATGACCTTGACTCGAGACAAATCACTAAGAAGTTGCCTGCTGTGTTTCGGGTCTGTAAGTGCTCCCAATCAAGGGGGGGTACCACTACTTGACCCGCACATTTGTGCTTGTGAGAGCGATCGTTAGCGGATTGCTTTCGGGGATTGATGGAGGTAGGAATTCCCTTAGCATGTGACACAGCCATTGAAGAAATTGATGATACAAGATGGGCCCGCGCGTGTCTTGGAATAGGCAGCCAGACTTGCTAACGCTAATGAGATCTAATGACTATGAGCTTTGTTGCTCAACTCATTCCAATCAATGAATGTGCAGCACCCCTATGCACTTTGGACACCCCTGACATCTTCACACCTTTGCCCTTTAGCGATTCGCGGCACCGCCTTGTAGGGACCGCAACCCCTACGTTTTGCTACACGTTTTCACCTCCGGCGTGCGCTATCCGGGCACGGGTGGGAAGCGAAGCGCAGGATCTACACGGTGGGTGACACCGTGTTTGGCAGGAGATGTGTAGATCCAGCAGTGAACTCTGAGACCACGTATATACTACTTTTGATGGTGAGACTACACAATTGCGATGATGGAATTCCTAGGCAATAAAGCAAGGCATTCTAATCTTGTGGAAAAGGCCAGACACGTACTGTACTGTACGGAGGCACAGTTTGGGATTGGCTTGACTTGGTTCACAGGCCTCATGTATTCTTTTCTCAGGTACTGTCATTAATTTACAATAGCCTGCAGTATACCATGGTACCAGGCTCAGTCGTTTTCAAGCACTGTGGGGCACCATTTTCAAGCCTTCCACAACTCAACGCGCACTTTCTTGCTCAGACGTGTGGTTGAGGGCGGAAGAGTTTAGGGTTTAGGTCGCACCAGGACTTCCGAACTGCTTGAGAGGTGCTGACGGTCATGGGCTCTCAACATGAGCAGGGTGCTTTTTAGATTTGAGAATCCCTTCCCTCAAGGTCCACAAACTCTCAGCCACGCATGCCACCTTTGCGGGCAACTTCAACAAGGCAGTTGGGCGGATGCCTGGAGTTTGTCTCGCCGAAGGATGGCGGCCCTGTAGGTGAACGGATCTGATTGCAGATGTTCTTCTTCGCGCCTTGTTCTCATTGTTTGAAGCAAAAGTACTTAAGTATCCCTTTGTCCATTGTATATTGATGTATATTGTTAGGTTGTATTAGATTCTATAAATGTGATTGAACTGTACTTTATGAATATCATATATATATACTGGATTATGCTATGTCATATACCATATTGATTGTTTTTCTCAATGTTTTGTTCTATGCAAATTTCGGATTCCTGTGTGCGAGGCTGCCACCATTGCCTTGTCATTATTCTTGGGCCTCGAGGACGGGACACATTGGAAGAAACATGGGCCGTTCGGAAAGGCTCCAGTCGTTCAGCTCCACTCGTTCAGTGAGAGGGAAGTCGCCGTTTGCGCTGTCCTCGGTTCCAAAAAAAACCAAGAACGAATACCGAATACCAACTCCTGGCCTTCGATACCTTGCTCAGGCACTCCCCTCTGGCTTGTACGGGAAGATCTTCGTCCTAGCTGTCCGGGGTCCCTGTGGACCATCCGTCGCTCAAGCACCGCATCTTCCTCTTCCGTCGGCGCGGTCTTTGCGTGTTTCGGAGATCCGTTGGGTCTTTGCGTGTTCCGTTCCAAGGTCTCATGTCACGCATTGGATGCCTTTGGGAGATTGAACTTCTGGGGATATTTGATCCATGTTGATCCTTTGAGAAATACCATGTTGCAGACGCCTTCTGCTACGGCATTATGTACATGAATCAAAAATGAATCTGTTTGCTTGAGCAGTGAGCTGAACGATGTGGACTGCTGAGATCTTGGGCAACATCACGGCCTTCACTGCCTTTAGTGCTTCAAAGGCTCCGGGGAAACATGGAAAGACACTGTTCCGGGGCAATTGGGTGCCAAATAAACTTTACTATTTTGTATATAATATAATATATATATATTATAAATATGTATATGCAGTTTTGACTTTATTACACATGTGAGAACATCATTGTCATGGAACATGTATTTCAAGAATCTCTGATTCTCATGTCGCCCCACTGTCGGATGCAGTATGTTGATTCGATCTCTTGCAAATGCGGCCGAAGAGTCACGAACCAGTGAAACGGACCGGTCACCGAGTATTCGGAGGAAGAGTGAACACATGTGAACGCATCATGTGCATAAAGTGTGAATCCATAGGTTGCTAATTGAAAGCAACATGAATTATACTGCCTGCTACGTGAATCCATGTTGATGTCACTTCAAGGCCTAAAGCCTAAGTCATCCGCACCCAGTGCAATATCAATTGGGAATAATTAGGATATATTAGGTTAAACATTGTACTTGCTTTTGTTCTTCGACACTGCCACGGCCTCCACCAGGCCAAATGACTGAGAGACGAGGGGACTTCCGTGGTAGCAAGTCTCGCGCCATGGCGAGCTTTCTCCCCACCAATCGGGTGACACCGTTTTGTGCAAATTGGTTCGGTAAGAAGAAGTGACAGCGGTTGCCGTTTGGATGTGAGAACACTTGCTAGTCCGAATCGTTGCAAGCCGCGGGAGCTTGTAACTGTCATGTACAGCAATTGATTTCAATAATGAATGTTGGTCATTTGGAAGACCAAGGCCCTTCGCAAATTCTGGGCAGTTGTCGATTTGAAGTGCCCATGTGGGACGTCGCGTTTTTTCGTGGTTTCAGTTTCGCACGTCCAGAGTGAGGAGAAGCAATCGATCAGTTATCAGTCAGAGTAAACTCTTTAGTAGCCCAGAGAGTAGGCATGTTAATCCGCAACATGGTCAAGTGATTCAGCTTGAGACGGAGCTGGCTTCAGCTTTTTCTCCCAGCACCATGTGCAATTTCTTTTGGGGAGTACAAAGCCGGTCATGAAAAAACACACGTTGGCCAGGAAGGTCCGCGGGACTTTTGGGGTGCGAGTAAGGTTCGCATGGGATTGTCAATGGCCTTTTTTTGGTTGCATCCACGTTTGGCAATCATGGGAGTACCGTCCGGATGGAGTTCTGCAACAAATGGTAGCTTTTGTCTTGCACTCTGATTTTGGAGTTGATCATTTGGCTGGCCGCGAGCAGCCCTGTTTTGCAGAACGGATGGATCACTGAGATTCTGTGGCTCTTGGAAAAGGTTGCGCGATTGAGACTGAATGTCATGACGTTGCTTGACCCAGGCAATCGTCAGATACAGACGAGATTGGCCAATGCTGCCGGAGGTGTTGCGCAATCGTCAGATGTTGCGTAAAAATCAGGCTGCCTCGCGCGTACTGTGCTTGCCTTGCTACAGGCAGTTCTACACTGATCTCAAGGACCGTTTTTTTTTTTCACCACCTCCAGTTTGATGGGTATGAAGAAAACACTTGAAAACAAGAAATCGTCATGACGTGTTCTCACCCAGCCAGGTTCCTTGAATATGTTTTGAAGAGCGAGAGTTCGCAACTCCACTGAACAGACAAGACAAACTCGACAGAGCACTTCAGCGGTCAGACTTCTAATTTGGTTATATAACGTTGATAGCTTATTTGGGGGGGCAAGCCTAGCCTCTGGAAAGAATACACGGCAATGCCACATCAGCTTGGGACAAGTGTCACTTGTGCTTGGATGCAGATTTTTTTGCCTTGTCGCTTGTCCTTGGAACTGGGGCACTTTGGCTCGAATACTTCCTGCAAGCTGTAGGCTTAGTACCGTCAAAGACGCGAGACAATCATAGATCGGCACCTGTGAGTAATTCCAAGCGTCAGATAGCGAGAAGATTGTGAGATCACCATCATCAATCATGGTGAGCTCAGAAGATTGCGGGACATTGTCCCAACAGCTGGTCAACCTCGCACCCGTTCTGATATAATGCTGTCCCTCACTGAAGATGCTGCAGACACAGCAAGACATCTCAAGCGGATAAGAAATCTCAAGCGGCTAATCGCAAGAAGCACAGAAACCATAACAACAACACCACCAAGAATAACAACAACACGAAGAACAACACCAACAACCATAACAACAACACCTACAACAACAGCAACAACCTCTTTTCTTTTTTCCGGCCGGGTGTCCGAGGAAGAAGATGACCTAAGTCAGTTTGCGGAGTGGACCTCAGGGATAAAAACAGCAACAACATTGACAACAACACGAACGACAAAAACAACTCCCCCTCTTTCTCCCAGCTACAACACGAGAGGCGCGCAGCGCAAAGCCGAATCGGTGTGGATTGGGGTGGAAGGGGCAGAGGAAGAAGACCGGCAAATGCACAACATTTTTCGCTACAGACATTAAAGAAAGACCTGAATTGTCAGCTGCATTGTTGTTTTGACTTCGAGGTGTTGGTTTTTGGGGCCAAGAAAATGTAGGTTCGAGCAACCTGCCAGGTTCGAGCAACCTGGCTTTCGCATGCTTTCGCTTTGTGTTCAACTACCACCTCCAGCGGTCCAGGCTGGCGATGCCACCACCGCGGCAGAAGTGCCACAATGACCAGTGCCAGTTCCTCGCAGCGAAGAACCAGGAGAAGATGGGCAGCTTTTGCTGTAAGCGATGCCACCTACATTTCTGCTGCTCAGCTCAGCTCGACGGGTAGGACATGCGCGACTTGAGACAAGACAGGGACCACCAGGGACCTCTCCAAACTCTCAAGATTCCTGAGCCGACGTAGATGTGTTCTTTTTGGCACTCCAGAACCGCAGAGGCTGACTTAGTACTGTTGTTGCCTGGCTCAAAAGCCTCCGTTTGCCGCTTGTTCCGAGGCGGTGGGACGAAGAAGCTGAAACACGGGGACTTGTGCGAGCAGTTGGTAGCGCCTGAGGGCGCTGTCACTGCTCCACTGGTGAACCCGAAACAACCTTTGGACCCTCAGGCGGGCGGTTCAGTGTGCCGCTGGGCGGTTCAGGTGATGATGTGGACATGGAGGATGTATATGGATGAAGAGGCTAGGAGGATTGTCTTGGAGGCAAAACAAATTGATAGCAAAGGAATGCAAAGGAATTCTTTAAAGTTTGGACGGTCTGGGGTTTCCGAAGGGGAAGAGGGTCAGATTGTGTGTAGTTTTTATTTGTGGCCAGTGGTATATATATATATATACAATGTATATATATATATATAATGTATATATTAGACGGGTTTATTTTAGACTCTAAGACTAAGACTGTGAGTGTTTTAGCCTCACGTGTACTTTCATACGTCATTTGCACGTATTTGGGATAGTTTCTTTTCGGAATTTGTCGCGGACAATACGCGTATTTTCCGCACGTGTTTTCGTCGGTCGATGTAAAACACACTGTAATTAGGACTTCATAAGTGTTCCACGATTCCGAGGGTTTTGGTCCGATGGCACGTTAACGTTGCGTTCAATTTGCACACCCACACAGAAGAAACCCGTCTATACGCACGCAATACGAGTGACTTACTGTGGGGTGGGGTGTGTTGGGATGTTACCGTCGGTTCAAAAAGCACACCCAGGCAGAAGAAAGCCTTCTACGCTGCGTGCAAAATGGGTTGGACGGGGGGTGGGGGGGGGGGGGGGGGGGTGGGATGTTAATGTTGTTCAAGTAGCACACCCAGACAGAAGAATCCCTTCTACGCTACGCACACAATACAAATGACTGAGAGTGGGGTGGGCAGGGGTGCATGGGGTGGGATGTTAACGTTCGGTTCAACTAGCACAGACAGAAGAAGCCCTTCTACGCTACGCTATACATACACAATGTGAGTGACTGAGGGTGGGGTGGGGTGGGATGTTAACGTTCGGTTCCAACTGCACACCCATATAGAAGAAAACCCTTCTATTCTACGCTACGCTACGTACACAATGCGAGTGACTGAGAGTTGGGTGGGGTGGGTCTTGGGATGCTACCGTTCGGTTCAATCAGCACACCCAGACAGAAAGCCTTCTACGCTACGCACACAATGCGAGTGACTGAGGGTGGGTTGGGGTTGGGATGTTAACGTTCGGTTCAAATTGCACACGCAGAGGAACCCCCTCTACGCTACGCTATACATACACAATGCGAGTGACTGGGGGGGGGGGGGGGGGGGTTGGGATGTCAACGATCGGTTCAATTTCACACCCATATAGAAGAAACCCGTCGACGCTACGCTACGCTACGTACACAATGCGGGTGACTGAGAGTGGGGTGGGGTGGGTGGGGATGTTAATATGTTAACGTCACTGCGCGAAACCATGAAGGAGAAGTGAATGGGTTGTTGTGGTGCTACCTTTGCCAGTGGTGGCTTGGGACCTCATACCCAAATGCCTCAGAGCGTCGACAAAAGCTCTACACGCACTGAGAAGCTTGTGCGGCTTGAAAGTGTGCTTCCAACCCGACCTGCAGACTGTTTCGATGCGACCTTTTGGACGTTGGAGATGTAGTTGGCTTTTATACAGACGTCTTCTTTTTTTCGCGATTTGTCCTCCTAAAATGCGCAAAAACGTTTTAATAAACAAAACGTTGCGTTTTTTCACGAACGTGTCGCAGCCTTAAGTAAACCAATGAGTTATATATATATATATATTGTATAGATCTTATTGATAGATATATATGTAAACCCCGAGGGCTCCAAGTACCTTCTATCACTCACTCATTCACTCACCCACTCACTCACTCACTCACTCGCTCATCCATGGCAGATTGAATCTGAGCCATCAGCCACAGGCGCATGGATGAGGTAAACCATGAGGTGAACCGAGCCATGCAGTAGCTTGGAGGCCATTCCGAGAGAGAGAGAGAGAGACAGAGAGAGAGAGAGAGAGAGAGAGAGAGAGAGAAAGAGCAAGAGAGAGAAGGAGAGAGATAGTTTTGCCAAGCAGTGTGACTTCAGGGCGGGAGGGTTGGGGAGGCACTTGATGCCTGCGTGGCCTGAATGTCATGTGACGAACCGAAGATCTGGCCGGTGCCGTTCTCACTCGCATGGGCTCTCCGCCACGACGGCGGTTCCCAGGTCGCTGCAAAATGGTGTACCACGCCGGATCTTCACTGACAAAACTCAGAACCTCAGTGCATCTCAAACTAACAACGTGGAAAATGATGAGCCAAAGTCCACCGCCACAGACGGTGCAAATTAGATGCATGTTTTTGAACAATGCCTGGATAATGTGCACACAGGTTGGAGGCCATCGCCCTGACCAGTTCGGAAAAATGATGTGTTTGCAGACTGGCGGTGTTGTTGTATAGGTTGGACGCCATTGTTAGTAGGTTGGACGCCATTGTTAGTAGGCTGGTAGATTGGAGGCCATCGCTAGTAGGTTGGAGGCCATTGTCCGTTCAAGCCATTGTTAGTAGGACGAGGTGTCGCATAGGTTGGAGGCCATTGTTAGTAGGTTGGACGCCATTGTTTGTAGGCTCACTTGGACATGAAGTTTCTGTCCCTTGCCGTGCTTTCATCCACACCTGTTTTTTGTGTCTACTAGGGAAAAGGTTAAAGGATAAAGGATGGGGTGGGGCGACACGAAGTGCGATGCAATGTGATTTTAGTTTTCCTGTAAACAAGGGTGACCTGGAGAAGGGTGCCCATCTGGACCCTCAACTTTGATGCAGACGGTCGCAGCCGGGCGCTAGGGTGTACGCCTTGGTGCCGTATGCTGCTGGGTTAGGCAGCCTCGAGATGATGCGGTTGGGAGGTGGTTTGAGCCCGAAAGGAGCGTAAAAGGTGCTACCCCTGGGCTGCTCTCCTTGTACAGGTGCTGACTTGCATGCAGAAGGCTGAAGAGGGCTGCCGAAGACGAGCAACATCGAGGTGCATATTGATCATGGTTAGAGAAACGGGAGCTAGAGGCATAGGAGGCATGATCCGAAATTTTGATTGTCA